GCTTTTGTAATCGTGTTGCGGCTTTTGTAATCGTGTTGTGGCTTTTGTGTTTATGTTGCAGCGTTTGCATTTGCGTTGCAGCTTTTGTATTAGTGTTGATACCTCTGGGCCACCGTAGTTCTGTTCCTGTGATGAACAGTAGAGGTGACACACTACATCCTGGCCTAATCCCTCTCTGTATGCTCATTCTTGGAAATGTCCTTCACTTAAGGAAACACAGCTATTTATGTCTGTGTACAACATCTGATAATATCCAAAAACTTTTCACCAAAGTGTTTAAATGTTTCAAGAATAAAAGCGTGTTCCACCATATCAAAAGCTTTCTGGAAATCCAAAAACAGAATAAAACCATCATCATCAATCAAATGGGCATATTCAATTAGATCCAGAACTAGACCAATATTATTATGGATTGTTCAAGATTGAGTAGAACTAATTATATCTGATATGCCCACTTTTAATCTAGCTGGAAGAACTTTAGTAAATATTTTATAATCTGTATTGAGAAGAGTGATTGGTCTTAGATTATTCAGGTTCCTTTTATCTTTTCCATGTTTAGGTATTAATGTGACGACACTCTGCTTCATTGTTTTCATGAGTTCTTTATTCTGAATGTTTTCCATAACCGCATGAAAGAAAAACATTTAAGAATTTATAAAAATTAGCAGTAATGTCATCAGATCCAGCAGCTTTTTCTGATGCTACATTTTTTACAGCAGTCAAATTCTTCTATACGGAAATCTTCCACACATATATTATAAAAGCAGAGTCTATGGTAGGAATAACATTTCAGATTTTTCTTGTTTTTTGTGTGTTTGGAGTATGGGGACGTAAAAAGAGGGCTGTAAAATTCCCTAATTTCTTCTGATACAAGTTTTTTTCTGTGCATTCTTCACCGTTAATTATCAGACAGTTAATTAAATGTTTTTCCCGCTTGTTTTTCTAACCTAAAATAAATATGATGTATTTTTCTCTCCTTCTTCCATCCATCTGGCTCTTGATCGTATAAATGTTCCTCTTGCTTTGTTTTGATAGTATTGATCTAGTTTAGACTGTAATGTGTTGATGTTGGTTCTATCTTCCTCACTCCAATCAGATTTATAATAATATGAAATTAATTCTGTGATTAATTTGGTTTCTTCCATTTGTTTTTCTTTTTGTAGTTTTTTACTGTATGAAATAGAGAATTTTCTTAAGGAAATTTTAAAAATTCCCATTTTTGTATTGCTGTAACTAAATTTGTGTTATTTTTAGTATCTTCAATTATTTTCTTAATGTTTTTACAATATTGATCATTTTTAAGTGAACTAGAGTTGAATTTCCAGTAACCCTTGAATTTGTTTTTTGGGTCTTTTTTGGCTAATCGAAGGTTTATGGCACAATGATCCCTTAAAGGGCTGCAAGAGATGCTGACTTCAGAAAGGCGTTCCAGAATGAAGCGTGTAACTAACCAGTAATTCATTCTGGATCTTAATCATTTAGTGTAAGCCAAGTTTATTGTCTGACGTTATAGTTAAGGTTTCTCCAGGCATCAATTAGTTTATAAAATTCATCCATCATCTCTTTGCTGGTAGCGTTAGCGTTAGCTACCTCTGTCTGTGTAGCGTAGTTGTCCTCAGAGTCTTCTAATGGACGATTCCCCGTAGGTTTAAAAACTGCTTTTTTCGATACTTGTGTAACCTTTCGTTGGCTCATGTTTACATTTGAAGACTAACAGCTTTATTTTTTAGTGGAGATTTCTTTATTTCTCTCATCATCAACATCGGGACTCATGTAGGAGCTCTGAGTAACGCGTCTGCTCAGCACGCCATCAACCTGGAACTCTTCAAAGGAATTAAAAGGGGGAAAAAGAGAAACGATTGCAAAAAAAATCAGATTTTATTACAAACTGTAGCTCTGCTTTCCACCAGTAGATGGTGCCATGTTCACATGGATTCTCATGAACTGTGGGGATCATTGTAGAAATTTGTCCAAATGGTTCAATGCCTCATGAAGCTTCATCTCACCATCACTAAAAAAAACACCAAATCAGCAGCAAGTTATTGCAGAGGATCAAATCAAACTATTTTCCTCCCAACATACAGCAGCAAGCCTACAGTATGGATCCACCTGCTTCCCTTCCTGGTTCCCTTCCTGCTCCTCTTCCTGCTCCTCTTCCTGCTCCTCTTCCTGCTCCCCTTCCCGCTTCACCTTCCTGCTCCCCTTCCTGCTCCCCTTCCTGCTCCCCTTCCTGCTCTCCTTCCTGCTCCTCTTCCTGCTCCCCTTCCTGCTCCTCTTCCTGATCCCCTTCCTGCTCCTCTTCCTGATCCCCTTCCTGCTCCTCTTCCTGATCCCCTTCCTGCTCCTCTTCCTGATCCCCTTCCTGCTTCACCTTCCTGATCCCCTTCCTGCTCCCCTTCCTGCTCCCCTTCCTGCTTCACCTTCCTGCTCTCCTTCCTGCTCCCCTTCCCGCTCTCCTTCCTGCTCTCCTTCCCGCTCTCCTTCCCGCTCTCCTTCCCGCTCTCCTTCCTGCTCTCCTCCCTGCTCCCCTTCCTGCTCTCCTCCCTGCTCCCCTTCCTGCTCACCTTCCTGCTCCTCTTCCTGCTCTCCTTCCTGCTCTCCTTCCTGCTCCCCTTCCTGCTCCCCTTCCTGCTCCCCTTCCCCTTTGCAGAAACTGGTGAAATAAAGACCATTTCTGAATGTTTCTGTTTCTTTTCCAGATGATTATCCCAAATCAGGCCCTGCTGAAGGTAAAGCACCACATGAAATAAAGACGTTTCCAAAGTCGTTTTACATTATCGTGTTATTAGAGATTCTTAACACCAAAACATCTGATTTAACGGGTTTTTTTCTGAGAAAGGAAGTTAAATGAACGACGGTATAAATATTTGACTTCTGTGCTCAGAGGTGAAAGATGTGAAATGTTTTTTTCTTCCAGCTTCAGCATCATCAGGTGGAGCGGCGGTCCTCAGCTCCTCTGACGGTACGCTCACATTTCAGAGTCTGAGTCGCTTCGTTTTAAATGAATAATGTTCAGAATTTTAATAACATAATAACTATTCTTGGTTTTTACTCTGTTACTCTAACCGGTTGTTTTTGTTTGTTTTGTCTTTAATGAATAATTTTTCATTCTAATATCTCTGATGAATATTTTGACCTTAGTGTCAGTTAGCATGCTGCCGTTTCCGTGGTAACCCTAAACTTTCCCACTGAGGGACGATAAAGGATGTTTCTCCTTAGAAAGTTGAGGTGGAGGAGGAGAACTGAGAGACGATGTAAATATGTCTGTTTGCTTTCAGCGGGTCGCGGTTCTGCAGGAGCAGCTGCTGCAGCGTCTGGAGGTCAGAATTTATTCATTCCTTCTAATTAATGCTTCTGATGGAATTTGTTCTATAATAGAGAGAAATCTATACTTTAAAATCTACATGTGGCTTTTTGTGGCGTCTCTCTAAAATCATTAAAGGCCTTCGTCTTTATTTCTACTCTGTTTTATTCTGCAGTGTTTAGGTTTTTATTTTAAAGCTTTAATTACAGTAAATATGAACTTTGGGGCACGGCGGCGGCGGCACAGAGGATGAACATGTGACCCATAAACAGACGCTTCGTCCTGTTTATGGGTCACAGGTAGATTCCTGCTGAACTTCACCATCTCTCTACTCTCACTTCCTGTTTACTTTTCAAAATAAAGGCCACTAGAGCCTAAAACTAATCTTTCTATAAAAACATGATTTAAAATATTGTCGGTGTGACAGAAAAATGGGGGCTGAAAAAGAGGCGGAGCATCGAACTTGATCCAGCGTCCAGATTTCTCTGTCTGCGCGTTTTTGACGCCCAAACCGCCGTCGGTGTGAACGCAGCATTAGGCTGAGAAAGGACGCCATCACTGATCACTATCAGGACAGATGCTGCATATTAACACCTTATTTTACCCTGATCTCATGGAAACTAGACTATAAAGCTTTAACTGAGGCCGTTAATGAATCCAGTTTGGCCTAAATAAGCAATTCCTCCGAGCAGAGAGGATGAATCTTCTCCACAGTGACGCTGAGGAAAGAAGCGATGGAAGCTGTTGCTTCGCAGGTGGAACAAACAGACCTTTGGTTTGGAGATGAAGGAATAATTAGTTTGAAAACTGCTTTTGTTCTTTGTTTAAAGCTTCTTGGGCTGATATCATTATTTTTTTATTATCTGAAACATTTAATTTGGGCAGAAAAGTAAAGATGTTTGAAATCTTAATGAGGAATAAACACTTTTAACACTTTTAGGTCATTGAAGTATAATAATAATAATTATTACCATTAAATGTAAGTATTTTAAAGGTATTTCTCTTTTATTCTCTCCAGACTTTGTGGACAAACATAGAGACCAGTTGACCCAAAGAGTGAAGAACTTGGGACCCATTATGGATGAACTTCTCCAGAACGGCGTTCTGCATCCAGAGACCTACAACGACATCAGATCTCTGCCGACCGCCGAGTCTCAGATGAGGGAGATTATTAACCACCTAAGTGCTGGAGACGAATGCAAGAATATTTTCTTCTCCATCCTTCAGAAGAACGAACGTTTTCTGGTCTCAGACCTGCAGAAGGAGGACTAGATGTTGAGAGAAAATAAACATTTTTATGAAATATGAGTTGTTTTCTGGTTTTTGTTCTTTTGCCCAGAAGAGGAACATTTTCCTTCACTGTAACGTCTCCATCTCTGCGTAACATTGTCTGTTACATTTAAATTAAACTGATATCTTATTTTCTAATAAGTGGCTTTATTAATGTCTTAAAGATGAAGAACTGCTGACTGGAGTCGGATCGGTGAAAGTTTAAACAGCCAGAGCTTCATAGTACTAATAAAAATACCAGGAAACAAGCTAACTCTGATGATGACATCATTAATTATTGCAGATGTTGTTCGGATTATAATCCCGCTATGAGATGAATGTGATGATGGAGAGACATGATGGTGGAATGAGAATTTTCTTTATTGAGACACGATCCTGTTATCCTGAGATGATCAAATCTCATCATTTAATAGTTTATGTTCAATGAGAGCAGAAAGTGTATCTAAGGGTGGAGGCCCTCTAAGGGTGGGGGGGCTCTAAGGGTGGAGGAGCTCTAAGGGTGGGAGGGCTCTAAGGGTGGAGGAGCTCTAAGGGTGGGGGGGCTCTAAGGGTGGAG